ACAATAATCTAAAACACTGTTGTTAAAATGTCACAAAGAGCTTTTCACTTGCAGCTGTTCAAAGGTGGAACATCACTAACAGCTCTAGCCCCAGGTACGTTCAATGCGGCGGTAGTAAAGAAGCCCTAAACCATGTCCTGGTCTCCCACAGCCCCTAGAAACAACTGCAGGGCCCTCACGCCATGAGCAGTTTCCTTTGGTGAATCCATAAGCCAATGAAGTAGCAAGGAGGAACTGAAATGCTGTGCCTCCCAGACCCCCACTCTTCTTCTGCCAGGGACACAGAACTCGCCCTGCACAGAGCCCATCCCATCAGAACTGTCACTAGCTGAGAACTCTGTTGGGGCAGATTTCTTGGGCTCATCTACAGCAACTTCAGCCAGGGACATCCATCTTTACAATAATTGTGGGCAGACTGACAACCAGCTGTGTGACGGTTACATGTAAAGACATGGGAAGGCAGGAGCTAGGCCATGGAAAAGGCCTGGCAAGTGCAGCGGGGCAGTTTAGCCTATGCACTTCTGGCAAACACCAAGCAGCCGATGTAGGTAACTCAACACACAGAGGGAAAAGGACACTGAAGAAGCGGGGTAGAGGTCTCAGAGCAGTAACACCTTGAAGCACAGAAGTATGCTTCAGTTTGCCAGCCCTATTCAAAAGAAGAGCTGAACTTTGATTGCAGGTTCTTCTTTTGACCTGAAAGCTCCATCGGTAACACACTGACCTCCTGGAACCAGGGCACTTAAAGGAAGGAGCCCAAGCAGATCACACAGCTGCAGTGAGCACTCACATTTGGTTCTCATCTGCAGCAAGTCCCAGCAAATCTAACTTGGAAGATCTGCTGCTAAACAAAGGTGGAAATTCTGCAACAGGAAAAAAATTAGAAGAATACACCATTGACAAGGCAGGTACCAGAGACCAAAACGGCCCAGAAACATTTATACCATGAAATCAGCAATGGTGACAAATCAAATAGCAAATGTAACCAAGACTATTGTTACAGATCAAAAGCTGCAGGAGACAAGGCTTGAACCAAGGTTTCTCGAACAGGGTTCACCAGCATTTAGCCCTTCATTCAGGTTAATTTTTTTAGATAACAACACCGTCTACACAGGCATATTTTACTAGTAGCTGAAGTGCAGAGGAAGAGAACCCTAAAGATTCTCCACAGCATATGATCAGCTCGTCTTTTTCTAAGAACTGGATGGTTCGTGGTTCCAACCCTCTCAGACTAATATTTCCAGCAGAGAGACCCTGATACCTCTCCCTCCACCTGCAGTAGGTTCATTCTGAAATAACCACTGGAGACTCCAACCACAAATTCAACTCCCTCCTTTGTGTAATTTCAGCCTGCCACCCCACCTTCCTGAGCACTGTTCCACACCCCCACTGGGACCATTTCCCTCTTCCCTCCCGAAGCAGGGTTTTCCATGCAGCACTCCAGGACAGCATTCTTTCATTCTAAATGGCCTGCAGGAAAAAGCCTCACCTGGCAATAAAGGGCTTCCTTTCTCCTCTGTGCAGACAGCACTCAAGAAACAATTCAGTATGAACAGGGCAAGCGTGGCTGATACCTGTCACATGTCACACAGACTGCAGGATAAATAAATGCTGGTAACAATTCTGCAAACCTCACTTACCAAATACTTAACACACACACACAGCCTGTCACTGATGTAACAAAATATATGGCATTTATTAAGGCTACGTAACTTAGCTGCCACTCAGAGGGTCACATTTTTTCAACTCCTCTATGAAAGCAGCTATTATGGAAGGGTACAAGGTATTCCTAGAAGACATCTCCACCCAGTTAGCACCACCACCATCACCGAGGTAACCAGGTACAAGACAGGATGCACCAAGAAAGTAACTGGAATGCTTGAATGGCCACACATAGTTATTATGCTGCGTTATATTGTGTTTGCAAATAGCTGTTTGGTTCTTTCGGTATCAATACTGAAACACAACCGAGCCCTTAGGCTTAGCCCTGTTAGATAGGCACCAGTCTGCACACATGAAGCCCCAGCAGATCCAGAAATACCAGTCAGGAAGATCATCTAATCAAATGGTATTATGAGGGGGGGAAAAAACCTTGCAAGGATTTTTTTTTCCTTCCCTCACTCATCCCAGCAGGATGACAGCCTGTACCTGTACCTGACAGGGTCTTCACCTGCCGTGTGGAACAGTGACTGGACTTGACGCTGTCCTTAACGCATTAAGCTCCTCATGGAAAAATATAACCTTTGGGTGTGATTTCATACACACAACTATTTACAACAATCATAACATGAAGCACAACTCAGCAGCTGCTCAGAGTCGGTGCTGGAAGCCTGGAAACACGGTAATGTCTGTCCCTCAGCAGAAGGGCACAGAACTCAACAAATGTCCTGCTTCTGAGAGCACCGACACCCACTGCAGGGCACAGAGAAGACAACGGAGAGCTTGGGCTGCTGTGGACTACCTCCAATTCCTTGCGTCAGCACTCGTGTAGAACCTTACCTGGTACCAGCAGGAAGTCCCAGTAAATCCACCTGTAGTTATCAGCAACAAATCATCTTGCCTGAACACAAACAGCCATGCGGCTGTACTGCAAAGTGCTGACCGCAAACTGGTCAGAGAGGGAATTTCATCTCCAGCAGGGTATCACGCTACCCGAAGAAATACTACCTTTGTTCTGGAGCTGGCTCAGCTGCCAACTCGAGGCACTGCTGCTAAATGATATATTTCATGTAGATTTCTCCCGTGTTTTTGTGATCTCTCATCACAGAATAGGGTGGGCAGACACACAGCTTTCTGTAACCTAGTTCCCACAGATCGTTATCAAAAGACATCATTCCTGCAGATCTAGTCACCTTTATCACTCCTTCCTTCAGCCTAAACAGAGTTTGCTGCTCCTATAGAGCCGGCATGCCTTGTGATCCCTTCTCTTGGACCTATCAGAAATACTTCATGTTGGGCTGTTTTTCCTCCCTAGTGTCCAGAGTCTATTTTGGTGATAAGCAGCACGCATTTACCCAGACATAAAGCCTATTTCCATTCTTCATTAGGAAAAAATGAAAACTCTACCTCCCAACCTCACACAACCATGAGTAGGACTATGGGATCTTTTGAACAGAATTCCTAATGGCATGCCTACTTCTCACCTATCCAAAGCACCAAGTAAATCCAGAGGTTTTTTGTATATTTTCTGTGTTTCTTCAGCTTATCATACAACCTTACAAAAAATACCCATTTGCACAGTATTCAGAATCTCATACCAGCATCATTTTGTATGTTATGGCAAATGGACTACTTACCTCTTTGACAAATTCATTCAAGGAAGAAGCTGGGCCATTGTCACAAGACACACGTGAAAAATTAGCAGGCAGCTATACTGCTTCTTGCTGGCAACACGATTTAAAAACATGCAGGCCATATCTAATGGTTGTAATTTTAAGCTGCTGGTGGAATACTAGTCAACTAAAATCTGGACTCAAGCAGAACCCATTTGGCCAAAGGCACTCCAATTTATTTAGTAAGTTCATCGTCCTCTGGAAACAATTTGCTCCTAAAACAACATGCTGTAGTATTTGAAGGCACCGTGCCAAACTTAAAATATCCTCATTTCTTCCTGTGGTAGGTACATGGACTTCTTTAGAGTCAAGTACGTCAGTAACTTCCCACATTCCTTAATTTCTAGTTACGCTTCTAGATTAGTATTTTGAAGGGTAAAAATACAAAACCTCTGATAACTGAAAAAAAAAAACCTCAGCTATTAAATTTTAATCACATTTAGGATTAGAATATAATTGAAAAACGTGTTTAGGTCGTGCTACAGCTAACATTGCCCTTAATTTCCAGCAGACGACCTACCCTGGGCTCATTTTAGGACCTCCCTGAGCACAAGCAGCGCTCTGCCATCACATCCCACCGCCCTTCACCACAGAAGGTAACAGCTCCGTACGCTAATCCCTGCTTCACAAGACCTCGGATTTCACTCCCAGACACCAAGCCCAGGGGGTACCCTCAGCTACACCCCACCCCCGGTGCTCATTTCCTCGTTTTTCTCCCCAGAACCAGAGCCGCGGCGGTCGCCCCTCGGGGCTCGCCGTTTGCCCCCACGGGCTCCGTACCCAGGCAGCCCCTTCCCTTCCCTTCCCATCCCAACCGAGTGGGCCGGGGCCCGGCCCCCTCCGTCCCTCCGAGCCCCGGGGCCCGTGCCCGGGATGGCGGCGGCGGCGCCCGGGGGTCTCGGCGGCCGCGGCGCCATTTTAGGAGGCGCTGCAAAGGCGGGAGGCGGGGCCAGGCCCCGATCGCCGCGGAGCTGCCGCCGGGCACCGGGGCTCGCTCCCGGCTGCGGCTCCGTCTCCACAGGGACCCCCCAAGACCCCTCAGAGACCCCTCAGGACCCACCGGGAGCCTCCCGGGGAACTCCGTGCCCTCTCCGGGCGCCTCACCGCGCGGTGCCCTCAGCACGGCAGCGCCTCCCTTGGATCCCCGTCACCCCCCACCGCCTCACAGCGCCTCACGCCGCCCTCACCTTCTCGCAGAGGCTCTTCACCTGCCCCTCGGACAGCTGCTTGCACTCGTTGAGCTGCTCCACCCACTGGTCGAGCTCCTTGGTGAACACCTTCTCCTCCATCCTCCCGGCTCAGCCTCTATTCTCCTACCACCACCGCTGCTGCTATTGCTGCTTTACTGCTCCACCGCCCCCGGAGCAGGCCCCCCCAGCCCCTCACCGAGCGGTCCCAAGAGGCGGCGGGGACGCAGGAGCTGGGAGCGGGGCCCTGCGCACGGCAGCGCTGCCGCTCGCCTCAGAGCGCGGCGTGTAATGGCCGCCGCGCCTGACGTCACCGCCTCGGCTTCCACTACTCCGGGGCGGGCGGCGAGGGAGGGGACCGCGCATGCGCAGCGCCGAGCCTGCGCGCTGCCCGCCAGAGGGCGGGGGGGGCTGAGCCGCGCTGAGGGGAGCGTGCGCATGCGCGGTGTGAATCGGGGAGGGGGTGTGGGGGGGGTCTGCGCATGCGCGCGCTGAGGTGGGGAAGTGAGGGGCGGTTTCCCGCCCAGCGCCTGAGGGGATGTGGGGGGGCGGCCCTCAGGGGAGAGACCCTGAGGGGATACAGGCATGGTGGGGGGCTTGTGGAGGTTCCCCCCGACCAAACAGTCCCTGACACCCATCGCTGTGTTCCTCTGGGACGCGGGGGTTTTGCTGGTGGTGGGTGCTCCCGGGGTGGTTGTCCTCAGTTTCCTCAGTTTAATCGCGAAACTGAAGTGTTGAGGCGGGGCTGGTGCTTGCTACGGTGCGTGTCTTGTCTTAAAAAAATATAAAGAAAGGGGTCTTGGAAGGTCGTGTGTTTGTGGTGAGCATTTGGGGGAGGAAACGAGCGAGGTGCAGTGGAGGATTTTAGTAAAATACAAGGTGTTGGTGGTGGGCCTCAGGTACCTCAGTGTATTCGGGCACTTATTTAAGTGAGAAATATTGGTAAGAGACAAGTAATAGGTAAGGAAAAAGGAGTGAAAGAAACATAAATCTATTAAGTGAAATGGGCTATGTTTTTTATTGATTTGCATCCTAACTAGTAGGTGTACTAGTTAATGAAATATTTCCCTAAAATATCTTAAAAATGCATGGAATGATCAGCTGAAAAAGGACCAATAAAGTAGGTCAAACTTTGGGCAAAATATACCCTGTGGAAATTCCCAAATCAATGAGGGCTTCTCCCAGTTACTAAGTGTCCATCCTCTGACAGGGTTTGCCTCATAGGGACTCTAAATTGTTAAATTCTTTGCCTACTATTAAGCGAGTTAACAAATAATGAGCAAAGGGGAAGGAATGCTTGCTTTCGTCGATCAGTCTCGGTGCCTTGGTGTCATAGTGTCCTGATAGACCCGCGTGTTTGCACGCCCTGCCTCAGGTGTTTCATTTTTTCCCAGAACATCGTATTGCTTACATGGGTTTGCATCTTCAGGTGTTCCTACTTCTGTATTTAAAGTAGTGGAAGGAAAAGTGTAATTGAAACTTGAACTGAAAATTTGCAAAATTACTTTGTGATACGTTTTCCATAATACCCCCAAAATAACCTTGAACAAATAAAAGTGAAGAACATAAAGCAATAACGTCATCTCTTATGTAACTTGCCAAGTTAAAGTTTATTTTCTTCTAACTGTCTGGCATAATAAGATGTTTTAAGACTGCATTTAGCTTTATGTTTTCTGTAGAGATAGTGGAATTTGTGGTGAAACTCAAATGGATTCTCCGAATTCCTCCTGGTCTCAACCTTACTTATGTTCCTGACTGCAAAAATGTGCTAATTACTGCTATTTTTCTATTTATTTCCCACAACGTTCAGAAGTATCTGAACCTACAATTTTGGTACTCCATGCGTCGGTCTCAGGAGAAATAGATGTTTCAGCACCTTGTTAGAGGCTAGCTGTGATGCAGAACAAGGTGCTGTCTGCTATCAAGTGGTCCCTTGACGCTGATGGGGACGTGTCCCTGGTCACAGTCCCACCCCTACGCTATTCCGCTCCTGTTGCCAGCAAAGATGAGTGGTCAGAAGAGCTGACCTAGTTCAAAGGGTATTTTTTCTGCATTGTATGCTTGGCTGCTTCAGTATGTAGGTGTAGAAGTGTTTGAGCAGGCACAGAGAGATGCGTGGGGTCAGAATCGTAGAAGGGAGCTCTGGGGATGGTCTGGCTGTGGGTGCACTGGGTACAGTCCTGGTGCTCAGAACGGGGTCAGGGCTGCATTGCCCACAGCAGGCTGTGCCCTCTGGAGTAGGACAGAGGGAGAGAGAAGAAATGAAACCTCCTCAGCAGCAGGAAACTATGAACTTGGTTTATTTCCTTATGGAACGATGACCAACGTCCTGTGACGTTTTACCTGATAGGTGTGGAGAAGGCGCGGGTAACGTGGATGAGACAAGGTTCCTTACAGATAGCAATAGTGCTCACTGCTGTCATTAAAGCACATGTGATGGTTCCCAAACCTACCCTAGGTTCACAGGAGCCTCGTGTTAGAGTGCTCACTGAAGAAAGGAACCTTTTTATGTTTTCAAGACTCAGACATAGCTCCTAACAACACAAACTGTGCTTTAGGAGGGCTGGAGGTTTCAGCACTATGCTTGCAGCTGGAGCTGTGCTATTGACTGGAAGAGAATTCAGGCAGCACAGGAACATTCTGCATTAGTTATCTGGACATTTGCATAGAAGGAGAAAAATTTGGTTTCCATCTCTGTCCCCAACTAGTTCTATATTTTATCCTCATGCTGTTTCAAGTAGCCTAGAAACTGTATTTTGATCAGAAGTCAGATCTCTTTCCTTCCCCCTACTTGAGAGTCACAATCAATAGTTCAGCGAATCGTGGTTGCTTCTCTCTCCGATGGTTATCTGAGCCTTCAAAGGAAAGTGAAATAATGAAAGAATACCTGCTGCGTTGCACAAGCTGGGGGTTTGTCTGTGCTTCAGATACACAGACAGATTAAACCGAACTGTGAGATGGCAGCAATAATACTTAGTGAGTGAATACATGCCAGGCGTGTGCGCGTGTGTGGTTTGTAGCTAAGGAGAGCTGCTGGGTGGGGTTGCCACGATGACTCAAGGATCGACCGTGCTGCTGTAGGCAGGCCTGGCGTTTGAGTCAGTGACAAGTGCTTCATATTTGTGGCATTTCTTAAAAAGGTTAACTATTCGAGCTGGCTGCGATTCTCTTGTAGGTTATTGAATTTTTTTTGCAAAACCATCCATAGTGCCAAGTCATTGTGTAACAGTCCGAAATCAAGCTCAGATTCATTGACAGGTACATTAGCACTTGCAATCGTTTTGCTGGTTCCTGCAGTAACACCAACCTTTCCCTGGGAGTAGAAGAGAGCCCTGTGTCCAAGCCATGCCAATTTATACCACATGGCATCATACAACAAGCGACCATAGTGTCGATCAGCCGTTGTAGGGTAAGCAACACGCATGTTGGTTTTCTTCATATTTATCTCCCCGTGAATATTTAACTAGTTCTGTGTTATCTGCCAACATACGTACGAAGTGCCTGTTGCTATGGTGTTCCAGTGCTAAATGTGGAATTAAAAGCCCATGCTATGCCATCGAAAGGTGGCAACTCGTAACGTTGGGGCTCACTTCTTGGATTAATGCTTTTTTTGTAAGCAAAGGGTGTAGCGGTTGATACTTTGCTGTAGAAGTCAGCTGCCTTTGTGGACAAAGGGACTTTCCTGCTCAAGGGAAGCCAGAAACATACATTGTGTGTTCAGATACTGGCCACTTCCTGAGACAAAACACAGTACGTCTTGTGTCTCAGCTGTCCCTTCAGGTTAGAGAAATCTTGTGGTTGTTAGCAGAACGATTGCATAAGGTGGGAACTAGACAAAAAGGTAGGAACTAGACAAAAAGCTACTTATGTCAGCTATTTGTGTTACGTCAGCGTGAGCAAATATTATTTCTGTATATTTGACTCATTCCAGAGTCCAGATAGTGTGTGACAAAATCAGTGACATCACTAATAGTACTAATACCAGAGGCCTTCTATTACCAGAGGCCTACTCACTCGAAAAGTTCCTTTAAACGCTTTCTGTAAAGGGAGGAATCTCATTATTAATCACCTCATACACCACAAAGCATACTGAAATTTGCTAGTTCAAAGTTTGCTCTGGTGTTGTACAGAAAGTAGGAAGTTTATGGTCTTACTGAAAGAAGCTGTTACGAAGTGACTGCAAATATCATAGTCCAAAAAAAAAGCTAGGGCAGGGGTGCTCATTCATAAATTCTGGATTCTTGGTATTTTGAAAAACTGAAGAAATTCCAGAGGATTGGCCACCTGCCTCTATATTTTCAGAACTAAAAAGTACAAAGGGTGATATTTTGACATTAACAGCAAGTCAAAAAAAAAAGGCTGGTTAATTTAGAATAATTAAAAAATAATAACAATCTAGTGGTTTTCCTAGCATATTTTTCTTATCATAGAATCACAGAATGGTTTGGGTTGGAAGGGACCTTAAAGATTTTCTCCTTAATTTTTCTTATCTCACCCATGTGAGAGATCAGCAGTACCTGCCTGACTTGCTTGGCTTTCAAACCACAAAAAACCTTTCAAATCCTGCATGTTTTAAGCAGAACAAAATTCTTATTGTGTACTCCTGGTGTTCTGTGTCCTGCTCTGTCCCATCCAACAGGCACAGCACCTCCTGTCTGTGCTGCACGTGCCCATGCTCTTACTCCGTTCTGTAAATGTGATGTGTCAAGGTAGCATTTTAAAATCTTGAGAGCTCTTTACAAATACTACCGCAGGCAGGACAAATGGCATCGCTGGTGTTGCCAGGTAGCCAGATACACAATTTCAGCCCCATTGAGGAAACAAACACTGAGGTTAAATGACTTGCCAAACGTGACAGGAGCATTTTGAGTCAAGAGAGTAGAGACTGCAGTTAAATAAATACTTTGGGATGCGCTTAAATTCCTTCCTTTTAAACCAAGAATGGAAACATCTGTGAAACGTTCTGCTTAGCTTGGGGCTTGCTGGTGTCGTGCTCGGATCAGCATAGCTCACGTTACAAGTACTTTCTTTGGAAACGCTCTCCTTGTGTTCAACGTTTTATTTCCATGAGGAATGTTTAGGCACTCGGGCCCACAACAAATTATTAATACATACAACCAGTTGTCTTGGAGATAACATGAAACAAGCTTTAGGAATCTGAAAAATGAAGATCTTTTAAGAAGTGCTTTGCTTTTTTTTTTTTTTTTTTTTTTTTTTTTTTTTTTAAACCAAAATTGCAACATCATAGTGAGGGACTGCACTGCTCGCTTTTGTGAAGTCTCAAGTTCAGTGCAATGTCTGATTTATGGGTAAAACCTCTGCAGGACGTATTTTATCTTCTTACCTTGGTGCACGGACTTACAGCAAAACGTAGTAACTAATGCAAAAAAAGGCAGCTAGGCCTTCTCAAGAGGTAGCTGAGGAGGCTTCGGGTCTGTAATGAGGATTGTTTTCTTTGGAATGAGGCTACAATCCTATGAAATGCCTGTGAGTCCAGGGAGGACTGAGTCCCCTACCTGCAGACCTAAGGATAGTAAGCCTAAACTCTCTAAGACTCTTTACCCACTCTTGTCATAACATTTCTTCTCTTTAACTGTGCCTGTGCAAAGTGCTGTTGCAATTCAGAAATACACAGTGCAGTTCAGCCAGCAGAAAGGGCTCTAACCTCTTTTCTGGGACTATTTTCTTGTCTGTCGTGTCCTGGAGCTCCTCTTACTCTTAAGAGAGGCAACACCTAAGTGATGTAGGCATTCTGTAGCGCATTTGTTTGAATGAATGAGATTCTCTATTATAGCCATTGCATTTTTTTTTTCTTTTCCTTCAGATTTCTACTCTTCAGTTAATACTACATCACAGTTCCTGTCCTGTTGACCTTCATCAGGGCCAAGCAACTGGAGACTTAAGCTATAACAAGACTGCAAAAAAAGGTCTGGAGCAAGAAGACGTGATGTATTCCTCTTTCACTTTTCTGCCAGGTAAATATGTGTTTTTTTCATAGCCCTTCCAGTATCTTGTAGCGAAGGAAGCACAAACCCAGTTGGAAAGAATTGTACCCACGACTTTTAGAAGCATGTTAATGTAATACCCATGTTGTTTAGAGATGCTACAGATGTCTCAAGTGACAAAATAAGTACATGTAACCTGCTAAAGAAGCCTTGGTTAAACTGCTGCCTTGCTACCCAGCTCAGCATCAGTTCCCAAGCTCAGCTCCTAGCAGTGCCGTGTCCTGGCTGCTGCTTTAAATGCTTCCTCTGAATAGAGAGACTGAGGAGGGAAAATTTCTTTTGAAATCTATTTGTGTAAGTGCTAAAGGACAAAGGAGAGCTGTGATATATTCACTGCATAGGAACAGTTTATTCTTAGATCATGACTTTGTTTCACTGGGGTTAACAAGTGTATTATTAGTAATAGCTAGTTACAAATAATAACCTGACCTTATTTTTAACCTAATACTGAATCAGATTTCATTGTGATACAATAGATTCACTGCTGTGCTTCGTTCTTTGAATATTATCGTTCAGAATTCCAGTGCCTTCCATCTTAGGTGTTAAAAATAAGTGGCAAGTTGGATAATTACTATTGTTCCAAGTCTCGTTGCAGCCTTACATAACAGTGTTCTCACCAAAAGCCTTATTTTAAGGGTGGAGTGGAAGAGCATGCTGTGGTAACCCGAAATTATTTGCACTGCTGGAGCTGCATTATGCAAAGCCTACTTAGAACTGTATCTCTTCTTTTTTTAAGGCAATTTCGAAGGCCAGTTTAATATTCCTGAAAGCCAAGATGCACGGACTGACTCAGATTTGGCATTGTAAGGTCATGCGTTGTCAGCACGCCTCAGTCCTGAGCACAAGCATCCTTGGTAATCCTGCATTGCCCAAGCAGAAACTACTAGTCATGCCAACTCCCTGCCAGTCAAAATATTTGTGAGTTTAACAATGGTAAATACATAAACATGCAAAATGAAATAACAACGGTGAATGACTTGGAAAGAGAATATCCCCAGGTGGCTGGAGCTACACCTGATAAACCTGAGCTTCCTCATTATTAACACTGTGTTCTCAGCCTGTTGTGTCTCCAGGTTTCCTAGCTAAGACTAGTTACCCTTCTAGCCCTGAGCTGGGCCACCTTCCTCTACCCCTTTCCTCTTAATTTCCATGAAATTCCTGTGACTTGGGAAGGATAAAAAATGGAAAGGGGCACTGGTCAATCCTGAGAGCAAAACATACCTCTCTTCAGCTCCAACAAACTCTCCAACTCCCCTGGTGATCACAGTAACAACAAACCCTCATCTCTTCTATTTGAGTAACGCATTTTATTTATTCCATCCTGTTTCTTTGCTTACTGTAAACTCCATCCTTGGTTGATGTTTTGTATTCCATCAAAGCTAGTATAGTTCATCTCCGCTATGCTTTTACCTGTGTGTAGCTTCCTTTCTTCCCCTTTTTCAGCCTCAGTTTATTAAATTTAGCCAAGTGATCCACAGCACCTTGTAAGGTCTGAGAACACCATTCTAATCTGAGAAGTTTTTCTCCCTGAAGCTGTGTGTAATGACAGTAAATAGTACATCATTACAAATTTTACTGATAAAAAGCTCTCAATTGACGAAAGAACACGAATTGACTGTGAATTGCCCTGTTAATCTCACTGGTAGGTGGTAATGCCAAAACTCCATGGCATTTCAGCTGGAACTGGAGTCTTAGTGACATAACATCCAGTTTTCTATTTGATATATGCAGCATTAGTGGTAACTGGTGAGTACATTCGCTAACAAAATAACCCCCTCCTCTTGTTAGCCTCAGAGTACACAGTGTCCAGTACATTTTATGGCATGTCTGTTGTACAGATGCTGCACACGTGCAGCTGTTGGAAGCCCAAGCCAACAAATGCTGAAAGCCTTGCTAAAAGCTGGCCTGGGCTGCCCAAGTTCATGCTGTGCTTGAGCTGTGTTGGCTGAATAACTGACTGAATTTCCCTCATAGGCAGCAAGTGCATCCAAAAGCCGTCATTCTTACGTTCAAAGGCAGAAGCTAGTACTAACTGTACTCGCTACTGTGGTACACAGAGATACACCCTCTGGAGTACGGATCTAGAACAAGCATAATATTAATTTGTGCGCTTCACTGGTGTGGTTTTCCTCCTTGGATTATGAACTGAAAAGATCAATGAAATTATGGCTGTTATTTTCATTGGAATAATAATTGCTCCGTAATTAAATAACAATATCAGGTGTGTTATCAGAGAGGAGAACTGGTTTCAGAAAACTGTCATTACCTTGAGCAATTAAATTTTTTAAATTCCATAATGAATGTATATGCAGGGTCTGTTACAATCGTGTTTGAACTCAGTTGCACAGGACGAGAGAGAGAAATGTGCCACCTTCTCAAAGGGTGTCTTTCCTTCACAGAATCAGTGGTCCAATGCTTTGGACATTGTACAGGAAGTCTAATGTTGATTTCCATTTTACTCTCAAAAATAATCTTTCCAATATCTGTCTGAACTTCCTCAGAATAATGTTTATTTCAGAAACATCGCCTTCCAGGGCACCAAAATTACAATATAAACTAGTCTCAACAGCGTACCAGTGTTTAATCTACGAGGCCTGTGTTGCAGTTGATTCTAGATGTAGCTCAACGTACGTTTTCATAAGCTGCTCTCTGTCCTGACTGTAGTTACACTTCCCTTAAATAATGGCCTATATTACAAGGGAAAATAATTCATATTCATGCTTCTAGTAGTCAAAACAACTTCAATGGTGCAGCTACTGCTGTTCTAATTTTTTGGCAGCGTTCCATTGGAGACAGTAGGCAAATGTACCAAAATCTACCAAGAGTTACTCATGTATAGATAATAGAGCGAGCGAAAGAATTCCACAATAAAGGTGTGTACGTTGCAGTAGCCTTGAGATAGGGCTGACTTCTTTCGAAACAAGTTCTTCTGGTTTTATGTGACTATTTAATACACTTCTGTGTTCAAGAAAATAACTCTTGCTCGTACTCTGTACTGTGAAACCAGTATAGCAGGAGGCACCACGGGCTGGTGCACAGCTCAGGAGACAGGAGATATCTCTTGTATCTGCGTAAAAGATTTTCAACTCTCACTTCCCCGTCTGTGAAGTGTTACAGATACTACTACAGATTTTGCTAGTTGAGCAGTTTTGTTTTGTTTTGTTTTGCTTTTAACTGAAATGCACTTTCTTCGAAGTGTGAAGTATCGTTAACAGGCAAGTCATAAGTATTAGGTGAACAAACCCATTTTCTTATGAGTGTAAATGATACAAGCGAACAGGCTTCTGGGCAGTGCCGCTGAATGCAAATGCTTGCCTTTTGTTCATATGTTTTAAATGTAAATGCTTTCTACATTATCATCCAAAAGAAAAATATATATACACATACATATTCCTTTTAGAGAGGAAAGACTATGATGTTAAAAAAAAAAAAAAAGGGCAGAGTATCTGTAACGTCTTTCTATTTACTGTATTTCTATGCCTTCTTTTGCCCCAAAAGATTCTGCAGTGTTCAGTGGCTTGCAGGCACAAAGATAAATTCAATTAGCCTGAAAACCAGCTACATCTAAAATGAAAAGAGAACCACAATAAGATTTTTAGGTGCAAGAGTGACTAACCATTTGTCCACTTTAAACTACCAAGGCATATATTTGAAGTAGGAATGCTACTAGCAAAGCATAGTTTACTGTGGAGTGAAACCACGTCCAAACAGGTGCTAGCAGTCAGAGTATAACACTTACCTGTGGATCCAAATCAAATCGAGTCTTCTTTTTGTGATGAGATTGTGAATTGTACTTTTTTGTGTTTGTAATTAAGGGGTGGAACAGATGGCAAGGAATTAAAGAGCTGCATCCATTAAATTAACATAGAGAATGTTTCCACAGTATAATTTAATATAATAGGATTTTGCTTCAGTGAAATAAAACTATAGAGTCTGGTGCTTGGGAATGTTTACTATATGAGAAGCTTCACTGCTAAAAGATTTCACTGAGTCATGCTAAGAGCCTCTGCCAAATATCAATCATATGACCAACCCAATTAAAAAGGGTGTTTCTTCATGCCAATATATTTCACATGCCACCCTAAAGTGAGCCTTTTTTTGACAAATACACCTGTGGATTTTATGTAACACCAAAGGTGCACAATGCAGTCTCACTGCATAGGTTTGAAAAAGAGTAGATATTTACAAGCAGAAGCTGGCTGGTCTGGTATTAAGAATCAGGTTAAAAAAAAAAAAAAAGAATTGGGTTTGAGATGATTTCAAAGGTAGAGTTAAGGCAGACAGTCCAAATCAAACATCGATGCTAACAGAAATCGATGAATGTTTTGCCAGTTCCAGGAATCAAGATGCTACTCTCTGGATGGCAATCAATTTCTAAAGTTCAGATCTGGAAAGTTTTCCATTTCAGTTGAGACAGGATTTTTAATTACTCTACTTAAGAAAGAAAAAAAAAATCTGAAAGCAGAGGCATGGATTTTATAAGCAACAGTGGACACTAGTAGGTTTTCCTAAATCTCAGAAAATATTTACGCCTGGATATAAATATTTGAGTGAAACTTGTCTTAGCTACATTTGGGGAATCATGTCTTTTCTTCCTGAAATGCTTTTCTAAACCGTGGAAAGCTACAGCAAATGTTTTGTACTAACGATTCTTTAGTAAGCTCCAGCTGCAGATGCGTAGCATCTCCCACGCAGCTCCGCCATGGTGAGCAATCAATACATTGTCTTCTGCATAAAAAGGCTGGCCCTCTGGTAATCAGACAGTGGGATAGAGATGAAATCACTGTGGAAAATAGCACTGCAAAGAGCACAAAGGCTCTCAGTGGGCCTGCTGCAACCCTTCCTGCCACTAAAATACACTACAGATTAACCTGCCTCGGTAACTACTGAATAAGAAAGTTAAAGGCACAAGCACACATGCCATGGAAAGTTTGAATTGCCCTTCCTTTCAGTGCTCAGTGTGATCTGTAAAATCACTGTAATGCTGTGTGGGGATAATTGAGAGGTCACGGGGGATTATGTGGACATTTAGGTTTCATTCTGGCTTGAGTGCGTTCAGCTCCAGTGATATCAACAAAATTGTTTCCATCCTCAGTAATGCTGCATCTGCTTCTAAGATTTACTGGAATAATAACATATGTATTAAATGCACACATTTACCTTTTACTGAGATCACAGTTTTTCAAATTTTCAGTATTCAAATACTGAAACTTATTTCTGACACAATGGAGCTTTTCTGTGTGATATATGGAAATGAAGAACAGGACGGATCAAAGCTGCAGAATGTAAAACATTCCAGCTCTCAGAACAACAGCAGAACGTTGCTTTTACAGCAGAGGGCTTTGTCAAGGAACCTAATACTTGGTGTTTTTATCTGCAGCTACTGCTGCATGAAACAAGGAGAATCGCTCCCATTTCCCCTGTTTCCTTTTGCCAGGAAAGATAAACTGTGTCTGTATTTCTTCTCTAAGCTCTCAGTGGAGGAATGTCCCTTACGTTGGCTGCTTCTCACTTCTCTAATTACTAGCTCATGGTTCCTCCCCTTGGAAATGTAGGGTCTTTTTTGGAGAACCACTCGCAGTTGAAGACGATGGTGTTGCTAACAGTTTCTCCTTTGGCATCGTGCTCTTCACACGGCAGTGGAACGCATTATGTGAGATAATTAGCAGCTGTATTCAAGTGACTCAAGGGAAGATCTGAGTTCTGAATTGGAGAGGATGATTGTGTATCTGATGTAATTTTATCTCATCACATATAAGCTTTCTGTGCAACAGGACAGAGAACAGAGTTAAACAATGAGTCCAAAATACTTATGCTAGGAGAACAACTATTTTGTTTCTACAACTGTTACAACTTTTCCTCCCTTAAATTTAAAGAATGCTGTTGAACAGAGGTTTCTGAAGAACAGCTTTTACTGTCAGAGCTGTACCACCCCACAAACAGCATGGTAGGAAATCTGTGTGCAGCCCTTCAGAATAATGCTTGATACTCTTTGCCTAGCACAAATAATCCCTTTTTCTTAAAATTAACCTTTTTACTTGTAAGAGATACTTCAGCAGTTGAGCAACTGTGGCATGTTTTTTCAACATTCATTCATGTAGGCAAAAAAATAATTTAGATATTCAACTCCTCTGCAGAAAAGCAAATAAACAAAAAACATAAAAACTAATGGCAAAAAGAAAAAAGGAATGTTGGAGCTGCGTGGCTGGTCTAAATTCACCAGATTCTCTTGCGTAGCCCGTGGCTGGTAGTGCTGCAATCTGGGCACGCCTTCAGCTGCAACAGTAAGCACGACAGGTATTCCTGCACGGTGGGGCTATTCCCAATTACTCACAAAAGCACCTTTTTTTTTACCCCAGTTTTGCTGCCTGTGTTAGGGTTTCCTATTTCAGTGGTGGTATATTTGCTAACTGGGCAGAGTGGCAGAAGTGTACAGCATACAAATAATTAACAATTTCCTGGGAGCAGAGCATTTAACAGCAGAGTTTAGTTGATTATCAGTTCTTCTCTGACTAGCCTTTTAAAACCTTCTTTTTCACACGCATGAACAACCTCAGCACGTTTCTAGAAGAATTCAAATATCATTCTTTTACAGGGAAAACGTCAAATTTCAATACCGGTTCTGGCTAGAGTTTCCCATCAGTAGCTCTCAGCACGCTTTGCACAAGTCAATACCACTTCACAGATGAGGAATCTGATGTGTTCAGCAATAGATTATTTGCCCCAAATCACCTCAGCCAGCAGCACAGAAAGGAAAGAACGCAATCTAGATGTCTTCTGGGCTAGTGTTAGATCCAGTTAGATGCCACTTTAAATGGAAATATATTTTATTTTTTATTCTCAAAGGATTTGCTAGCTCTGTCTCCCTTCCACACCTTATCCTGGAGCCTCAGAGATAGTGGTTTTCTTTCTGAGATCTTTCAAGTATTCTTCCATCTTCTGAGTCGGGATGCAGTGAGTGAAATCTGCTTTTCTCTGCTCCAACTCGAACCCATAGCTCATCTAAGCTTTTCCTGGATTTGCTTACATTAAGCTCCCATTTCCCTACTTGCTCTGAGCCCTCAAAATAAATTTTTAGATAGGATTATATGGGAAAACGCATTAGGAGGGGAAGAGATTTTAAAAATAGCCTAGCATCTAAATCTCAGTGTAATCTCTTAGAACTGACCCAGTATTTGAGCACAGGGCGTGGAGATGCACTGGCCCAGTGCTGTGAGGAAGAGCCGTGTGTGGCATCTGCATTTCATAAATGCTCACCAAGTTGTGAGCGATCTAAACTGCTGGTTACACCCGGCTGATGTCATTAAAGCTTTATCTGTAGTAGATCTGCTTTCTTCAGAGGGCCAGTGTGGTTTTTCACACCCACATGTGTACACTACGTACAATGAATCTGAGCTAATTCATAAAAAGAGCTGTTGCAGTTCACATCTGGCAGCCGGCACTTCATTAATCCTGCCGCACCACGGGCATCACTCCTGCACAAACAGCCCGGCAGCAAGTCACAGCCCAGAGAGCAAAATCAAAAGGGCCACGTGACTCTTATGGCTAACACATAATGCAAAATGAAATAAGAAGAAATTAAGGAGTGCCCAAATTATCCTAATTTGGATGGTGTGAATTTTTGTTCCCTTGAAATGTTATCTAAAACCCTGTTCATATTTCAAGATTTTATATAGCAAATGCTGACTTTAAATAGTGACCATGATATAAAGCCATAAAAGAAAATAAACATTTAACTTAAACACAAAAATAAGATTGTTTAATTTTAATACTGTCTTTTTTAGCATTCCAAGCTTTACACTGCTTTCTATCACTTCCCACTATTGAGCTTAGAGGGTTTGTACTTCTTTCTACAAATGTCAGTGGCCACATGGAAAATGCAGCAGAAGAAAGCTAACAAAAAACATAAAATATGTTACAATCAATAGGAAAAGTTATGCAGTAAGAAATATAATTGAATTATACACTAACAGGAGTGTGTAAAGCAGTGATTCAACAGAAACTGCATCTCCCAGAAAATACCGTATAGACAAGACAGCCCCAGTAACATTTTCCGTGTATCCCCCATTGCACAGTTTCCATATAACCCAGACCCCTGTAAATGTCAGTGAAGCAAGTGGAACAGCAGTTTGGCTTGCCTCTGCCAGGGATGTTTCCAGTGCCAGCTTCGTTTGCCACCTCTGCAGGTAACTCAGGCAGAGGATTCACAGCCAGCGACTGCCACTAATCATGGATACTGTCTGGCCTCCTGGATTGCACTCTGGTTACTCCTGCTCTTAATGAGTAACTGTTCATCCTTTGGCAGAACTACATCAATCAAAACACAAAAAGAAAAGAAAAACACAAAATATAAAATACCTCTTCTCTGTTAGTTTGGTTTGTAAGGTGTTTCTCTGAGTAGATTTTTCTTCCCACCAATGCGTTTGCGTGCTTTTCCTAACCTTGCGCTATCAAGAGGATTCTTCTGAAGTTATCCATGTATACCACTCCCTGCAGCATGGCATTAATTCGTAGTACATTCAGTTAATTTAGACATGAATATTGGAGAAACTTAATTAGAACATGGCCTACAGTATCATAGCTGTGAAATTACTTTTCTTTTTTTCTTTAGATACTGAACAGGCCGAGGTGTTTGTATGGCATCTCAACCGTGCAAAGCCACAACTGCAGCTTTATGAGCGCACTGCCCTGCTTTGAGTAGTGCCTCTTTTCCCTGTGCTGCTCACACCCGTCCCTTCCCAGGCTACTGTCTGGCCTGTGCCACCCCATCTTTGTGAGGCTGTCGTGAGGAAAAGGTTCCAAGTCCAAAATGCCCATCTTTGGTCAGGTTATTTTAGTCAAGTTCAAGTCCTTGACCGGGTTCACTGTGCAACCCCAAATGCAATTACTGCTAACACAGCTTAAGACGTGCGACTGGAAACAGCATGACTTTGGGCTGC